GTAAGGATATATTAAGTTTTGCATAAAAGCATTTGAATAGAAATAACAATTATAACCTAAGAACTTAGCAATTGCAAGCGAAGCATAGGAAATGAATTAAGCAATTTGCAAGTTGGAGCTCGATCTTCCACGAGTCTTGGTATTCATAACAAACTCTAATCCGCATCTAGAAGTTTAGAACTTATAGCTTTCAAAAGAACACTCTGCAAAGGGGTACACATTAACCCCACCAGAAACAAGGGATATCGCCCATACGACCCGTCGGTACATAAGGGATACCTTGATGTCTCAACCTTGCCCTAATCCGGCCAAGGATGTTCACAAAAGGGTTGATAAGCTCCCGAGTAATGCTATCAAGATCTACCCGACAACACCCTCGTGCCAGTTTCACGAACAAACCGGTCGTGATTAGTTACTTGGCTTGTCACTCCCATAAATGACAAGTGGTTTGTACAATTTTATGTTCATAACTCACTATCACGGATGCATAGTCCTTAACCAGTTAGCGAGCTATGTCATTCAAGATCACCACCATCTTGCCATGACCCAACCCCTCGCCGACCATTCGACATCAAACTTCATCATTGGTCAAGTTTTAGATCATCCTCCATTAATGTTGCTTAGTGGGCAAGCATGCCTAACATCGCGCGAGTAATGAGAAACCCATCATTAGCTCAACTCTAGGATCTAAGCAAACTAAGCATGAATTAATAAGAGAAACAAGCAATGGTTGAGTGGTGTGGCAACATCAAGGTTTGGTGGCTCAATTAGGTAACTCATGGTTCATCTAGTCATATAGTAACATATCGATGCAATAGATAACCATAGTTCATTATGCATTTAACAAAAGCAAAGGGATGCATAGGGGCCTGCCTTGAGCTACGTCGGTTGGCTCGTCGTTGGGCTCCTCTTCCTGAGGCTCTTCCCGCCTGGGACCTCCTCGATAACCTTGTCACCTATACATGCATGATGCTTGATGAGTAGAATACATGAAGTAAATGACATGACATGATATGCTATGTAATGATGTTACTTGATTAGCATTAGGTCATATGTATTAAGTATTCAAGTGTAGAACAAGTGTGCTATCGGTTTGGGTTATCGGACCGCACGGTATAAGTGACGGACCATCCGCTATCTCAGGGACTTAGTGAAAACAGGACAGCTGGGTCATCAGACCCTTCGTGGTAACTCACAAACTCTCTGGTACTGAAGTCTGTAGCTTCGGGAATCTGTGGTGTTCTCTCTATAAATCAAGGGAACATTCCGTGCGTGGGTGACGGACTGTCCGTTAGCCAAGTCTGTAGGCTGCTACTTGGCTAAGTGTTCAGGCTCCAGTGGAACGTTCCGCCGTGAGTGACGAAGCCTCCGCCACGAACTGGCTACTCCCGGGTTTCCCTAAAAATCAGGTTTAATCATCACCGGACACTCCAGTGAAGCTTACAGACACTCCACTGAGACAAGTCTGTAGCTTTAGGCTCTCTGACTCAGATATATGATTCCACGGACTCTCCGTTGAATCATAATGTGCTCTGCTTAAGTGCAAACAGTTGGGTTTTAGAGATGACGGGACCTCCAGTAGGATCTACGGACTCTCCGTCAGTTCACTGACAGTGGCCAAACTGAACAACTCGAAGCTCAAAACTTCATCTAGGATCCTTGCATGAGCAAACCATCTCTAGGATAAGTTGCTGGTGTTATATAGAGCATATCTAGCTAGTTGGCTCTAGCTGAAAGGTGTGCAAATTAAATTTTGGTCACAAATTGACATTTCCTAGGTTTTGTGCTCATGAGAGTGAAAACTGAGTTTGAGCTCGAATTGATCCATACCAAGGCTTGCAAAGAAGATGGCAAGCTTCCCAAAGATGCTGGAGAAGCTAGATCTCCCATTGGTGACTTGGTTCTTGCTCAAGCCTTCTCCTCCTCCTCCAATGCTCCAATGGCAAGGGTGAGAGGGCTCCTCCCCTTCAACCCCTAGCCCCTTGTGGTGCTGGCCTTCTAAGTGACCTCCATCATCATCTTGAGCTGCTGCAAGATCCAATCCCTCCTCCTTTCCTTCTCCTTTCCTTCCTCTTCTTCCTTGGGTGGGAGAGAGAGAGAGAGAGAACTGGAGAGAGAGTGAGAGTGGGAGAGTGAGGGCTGAGAGCTGCCTCTGCTGATGGCTCACACGAGATGGACACATTGCCTTGGCTGTGGGACCTAGGTGGTTAACAAAGTGACACCTCACAAATCATGCATGGGATGATTTGACGGAACATCCACTGGATTGGCGGACTCTCCAGTGAGTGTCGAGTTTACACTGACAGACTGCATTTCTGTTAGGCCGTGCAGATAGGTTGACAGACCGTCCGCTGGTGGTGGCGGGCTCTCTGTCAAACTAACGGTGAGCAGTCTAAATGCAGATTTCAATGCAAGTTGATTTCTTAACTTGAGACTCAAATGCATATGCTGATCATGATGCTTATGCTCACAGACATATCATGATCGGGTCATGACAGTACCAGCGTCATGGTCAAGCGCTGGATGAATGAGGTACGCGAGCTGTCCTACGACAAATGGCCCTATTTTTATGGGCTAGATCCAACCGCGCCTGATATAGAGCCACCTCTAAAAATGGTGGTCAAATAGTAAAATTACATAATGAAATTTGAAAATTTTAAATGACCTCGGATGGAGAAACGATCAGAACAACAGGCGTAGATCTTGAAAAGTTATACAACTTTGTAGCTGATAACGTTTTCATTTGAGATCATCTATCCAAGAAAAATTACGTTTGAATTTCTAACATTTGAAATTCAAATTTTTGAACGATCACGGATGGAAAAACAACCAACACAAAAGTTTTAGATCTCGAAAAGTCATACAACTTTGTAGCTGATAACTTTTTCATTTGAAATCATCTGTCCAAGGAAATTACATTTCAATTTCTCACATTTGAAATTTGAAATTTTAAACAACCTTAGATGGAGAAAATAACCAAAATAAAAGTTATATATCTCGAAAAGTTATACAACTTTGTAGTTGACAACTTTTTCACTTGAAATCATCTATCCAGGGAAAATTACGTTCGGATTTATGATATTTGAAATTCGAATTTTTAATACAACCTCGGATTGACAAACAACCAAAACGAAAGTTGTAGATATCGAAAAGTTATACAACTTTGTAGTTGAAAACATTTTCATTTTAAATCGTTTAGGGTCCCAAACACTCATTTCAAAATCAAATGAGTATAGTAAAAAAGGGAGAATATTTCATATGGACACAAGGGAGTATGGGGTGTAGTAATTAAAGGAGTAACACGCGAGGTGAGATGTTGCGGGTTTGATCCCGGTGGCCATGAAGTGCGTGCTTTTCACGTGAAAAATTGTGTGACTTGCGACTTGCACGTGTGTGGCTGCCCGGTGGGGTCTCCTCGGATAAATTTTTTTTGCTATTTTTTTGTTCCGAATTCTTCATTTTTGGGCTTTCATGCGAAAAATTGTGTGACTTGCGACTTGCACGTGTGTGGCTGCCCGGTGGGGTCTCGGATAAATTTTTTTTGCTATTTTTTGGATCCGAATTCTTCATTTTTGGGCAAGAATTTGTAGAGGTAGATCGTTTTCTAGTCGCCCCTACAAATATTTAGCCGTCCCTACAAAACAATTTCTAAGGACGGCTAGAGATCGTTGATTTATAGAGATGGATGGGTAGGACGGCTGACCCAGCCGTTCCTACGAATCCGCTGGAGCAGCCTCTACAAACTCTCTCCGACGTAGTGCAAGTTCGGTGCTTAGTGCTGGTAGTGGTAGCATCTAGCGATTGTCCCGTGACAACGCACCAGTACGGTCCTAATAAATAGAAGAAAATGCCACCTAACGGCGTCTTTGATCTGTCGATGTGACCCCTAATTATGGACGATCCATCCTTAAGCTCATGGCGCAAGTTGCCGTCCTGTTGCTGGGGGATCGATCATCAGTGGGCCTGCTTGGTACTGTAGCTAGCTTCAGCTATAAGCTGCAGCCACTCTGGGCTGCTTGTAGCATAAGCAAGCATGGCCAATATTTGATGATGTGGCCGTAGAGCACCCATCCGTTATCTCTAGTCTCTACAAGAATGCATCATGAAAGGGGCAAAAATGGCACCCATCGGGCGCGTTTAGTTCGTGAAATGAAAATTTTTGAATGTCACATCAGATGTTTCGGGGATGTCGAAAGAGGTTTTCGGGTACTAATAAAAAAACTAATTACATAGCTCACCTGGAAACTGCGAGCCGAACTTATTAAGCCTAATTAATCCATCATTAGCACAAGTTGGTACTGTAGCACTTATGACCAATCATGGACTAATTAGGCTTAAAACATTCGTCTCGCGATTTCCAACCAAACTGTGCAATTAATTTTTTTTTCGTCTACATTAAATGCTCCATACATGTGCCACAAGATTCGATGTGACAGTGTGGGGTGAAAATTTTTGGGAACTAAACAGGACCATAAATAAAAAGTCAGCGTGTAGACCACAAACCACACAAGAAGGGGTAGCTCATAGCTGTAGCTGCCCTTTAGCTCGACCGCCCGTGTGTCCCGTGCAAGAAGGCGACTTCTTCCTCACTGGCGATACCCTCCGACTCCGACTGCTGGGCATCGATCCAAGCATGTCGATTTTTGTAAACTCTGGATGCAGGACATAATTGATCGTCATCATGCAGTTGGATTTTCACTGACAGTACCGATAACTGCTGAACAGAAGACCATAAGATACGTTCCCTGGTTCCCGTAATCGAGAAAAAAGACATTATTTTAGTTTCAGGTACTCCACATGCAAATTTGTTTTACGCACAAGTACATTATTATTTTCTGAAATTTTAATTTTAGAAGTACTTTGAAGTTATTAGTACTTTGGTCGGAATTGGTGTTGATCTTCATCTCTTGCATTTAATAGGTAGGGACAGAAAGCTGAAGCCGCTGGAATTCCGCACTTGTGAATTTTTCACCCCGCTTGCTTATCTTATTATTATCACCATGAAGGCTGCTGCAACTGGACGGTTTCTGCTGGTGCTCATGGCTTGCAGCGTGCATGCTGTCACCTGCAGCAGCAGCAACACCACTCCTGGGAACCAAACAGATCGACTATCACTGCTTGAATTCAAGAACTCGATCAGTTTGGATCCACAGCAAGCATTGGCTTCTTGGAATGACAGCACTCATTTCTGCAATTGGGATGGTGTCACGTGCAGGACGACGAGCAATCGTGTCACTAATCTTGATTTTGGAAATCGAGGTTTAGTCGGCCAAATATCTCCTTCGCTCGGAAACCTGACATTCGTGAAACAGCTGTCCCTAGCAACAAACAGATTCAGTGGACAAATCCCAGCAGCCCTTGGCCAGTTGCATCGCCTCCAAACCCTCTACTTGAGTAACAACACGTTACATGCAGTTATACCTACTTTTGGAAACTGTTCCAATCTGGAGATACTATGGCTCAATGGGAACAATCTCCTTGGAGGATTTCCGGACCTGCCACTTGGACTTAAACAGCTGGAGCTTGGATCTAACAATCTTTCAGGCACCATCCCTCCTTCTCTTGCCAACATCACAACGCTTAAGGGGTTGGGCTTCAATTACAATAACATTGAGGGAAACTTCCCACATGAGTTTGCGAAGTTTCCGGAGCTACAGCGTCTGCTCACTAGTGCCAACCATTTGGTAGGTAGTTTTCCACAGGCCATCCTGAATCTTTCAACCCTCGTTTCCTTTCGTATTGCAATGAATGATTTAAGCGGCGAGGTGCCACCTGGCCTAGGTAGCTCTCTTCCCAACCTCCAAATTCTTCTAATGGACTACAACTTTTTCCATGGTCACATCCCTTCCTCGTTGGCCAATGCATCAGATCTGCGCATGATTGATATGTCAAACAACAGTTTCACTGGCGTGATCCCTAGTTCCATTGGCAAACTTGGCAATCTCTACGGGCTGAATCTTGAGTTAAATAAACATAAAGCTCGTAACAATCAAGACTGGGAGTTTATTTACAGCTTAGGCAACTGTAGTAAGCTACAAGGATTATCAGTATTTGACAATCAGCTAGAAGGCCACGTACCAACTTCATTAGGTAACCTTTCTGTTGAACTGCAGATATTATTACTGGGGAACAATCAATTATCAGGTGGTTTTCCTTCTGGCATCGCAAACCTTCGCAACCTGATGTGGTTAGGACTAGGTGGGAATCAATTTACAGGCAAGGTTCCAGAATGGCTTGGAACTCTAAACAGTTTACAAGTGATGATTTTAGGTAACAACAATTTCACAGGGTTTATTCCATCATACCTTATGAACTTGACTCAGTTATCAGATCTCGGACTTCAAGCCAACAAATTCGAAGGGCATGTACCTACAAGCATAGGAGTTCTTCAAAATCTTCAAGTATGTAACTTTTCAAATAACCTTCTTCATGGTGGTATTCCCAAAGAGATGTTTGGAATTCCAGCAATCCTCGTATTGACTTATCTGTAAACCACCTGCATGGGCAACTCCCTTATGAAGTAGGCTATGCCAAGGAGCTCATATATTTGAATCTTTCGTCAAATATGCTGTTTGGAGACATTCCAACCAATATAGGTAATTGTGAAAACTTGCAATACATTGGGTTGCAACACAATAGTTTCGGAGGAAGCATACCCGTTTCACTAGGCAACATAAGGGGTCTAGAAGTTATGGACTTGTCTCACAATAATTTGACCGGGTCAATACCGATGTCCCTCACAAACCTCCAATACCTTGAGCAACTAGATTTGTCATTCAACAACATCAGCGATCAGGTCCCATTGAAAGGGATATTCAGTAATGTGACTGCTGTGAGGATTGATGGAAATCCAGGGCTTTGTGGTGGGCCATTGGAGCTACACCTACTCGCATGCCATGTCATGCCTGCTAATTCAAGCAAGCAGAGGCATTCCATTGTACAAAAAGTAGTGATCCCATTATCTTGCATTTTGTCCCTTGCTATAGTCATAACTGCAATGGTTGTCAGGAGAGGAAAACAAAAGACAAATCTGTTATCTTTGCCCTCATTCAGTAGCAAATTTCCCAAAGTTTCATACAACGATCTCGCTAGAGCAACATGCGGGTTCTCATCATCCAATTTGATTGGCAAAGGAAGATATTCTTCCGTGTATAAAGGAGAACTCTTCCAAGACAAAACCATGGTGGCTGTCAAAGTTTTTCGCCTTAGAGACATGGGGGGCACAAAAGAGCTTCATTGCAGAATGTAATGCTCTACGAAAGGTGCGGCACCGAAATCTAGTTCCTATACTCACTGCATGCTCTAGTATTGATTCCAATGGAAATGATTTCAAAGCCTTAGTCTATGAGTTCATGACACAAGGTGACTTGCATGAGCTACTGTACTCGACTCAATGTGATGGGAACACATCAACTCGAAGCCACATCACAATGGCTCAAAGGTTAAGTATTGCAGTGGATGTCGCAGATGCATTGGAGTATCTCCACCATGGAAACCAAGGAACTATTGTCCATTGTGATCTGAAGCCTAGCAACATTCTTTTGGATGACAATATGACAGCACATGTTGGAGACTTTGGTCTTGCAAGGTTCAAGTTTGACTATGAAGCATCGTCGTCCACTTATTTAATGTCGTCTTCTGTCGCTATTATGGGAACAATAGGGTATATTCCTCCAGGTAATCCAAGTTTCATGCAGCGTAATGTTTTCATGTACTTTTATCATTGGAGTAAACAATTCTTTTGTGCAATCTGCAGAGTGTGCTGCAGGCGGAGCTGTTTCGAGTGCTGGGGATGTTTACAGCTTTGGGATTGTTCTACTTGAAATATTTTTGCGAAGGAGGCCAACTGATGATATGTTCAATGGTGAGATGAACATTACAAAATTTGTTGAGATAAACTTTCCTGACTGGATACCACAGATAATAGATCCTGAACTACTAGTAGAGCAACAACATTTATGTCCAGAAACTTCAGTGGCCATGAAGGAGAAAAGCTTGGAGTGTTTGCTTTCAGTCCTAAACATTGGGCTTCTCTGCACCAAGCCGTCCCCGAATGAGCGCATCTGCATGCAGGAAGTCACTGCAAGGTTGCATGGAATCAAGAAAGCATATATATCATAGTCAAAACTGAGGTAACACTAGCAACGTCCGTTATACTTTGATATCGTATACTTCAAAATTTGTTCTAGTTTGTTCAAAAAAAAATGTTCTAGTTTTGTAGTTGTATTTTACTGTTCCTATTTTCGTCTTGCAGGATGAATATCTTTTACCCTAGTGTCTAAGGCTGACACAACAAAAGCCTATCTCTCTGTACCATAGCGTCAGTTTAAAAAAAAGTGTATTTTTCTTCAGGTTTCGTTCGACTCAAGCACTCCCCATCTTCACTGCACGACACAGTAGCATGTAATCTTCAGAGTGGATACATAATTCTAGCACAAGAGAGAGTATTCAATTTCATAGTCTTGAATTTTCTCATGTTTGATTTCTGATAAGAAGGGATTTCTTTTTCAGAAACGGGTTTAAGGCAGTGTTAGTGTCGACTAAAGTAGTGGTGTTGAAGCGTGGACAATTTATTGGTAAAAGCTATGAGTGCAGAGGCTTGTTTCGCTTTTCTTAAGCAATTTTTTGTAATAAGTCAGTGAACCATATTTGTGGCACGGATAATGACAATGTGTAACACCCTAAATTTTACAACAATTGAAACTAGGGAAAAATTGATTTACTAAGCATTTTTGTTAGCATTTAAATTTAGGAAGAATAATAAAGTTTATCAAATTAAAATTTAGTATAGGTTAACAACAATGAATGTGCATTAATGCTGCTGCATATAAATTTTTGGAATGGTTTGATTTGAACTCAAATTTGAACTTGATTTGAATTTTGTCTTCAAAATTGCTTTGGAAAGAAATTAGAAAAAGAAAAGGGTAAATTCTTTCTCCTTCCTCCTTCGGCCCGTAGGCCTGCTGCCGCCCTTGGCCTGTTTATCCCCTTGCCGGGCTACGTTGCCTTCACTCGGGCTGAAGCCCAGCGCTCCCCTCAGCGCCAGCCAGGCCGGCTCGGTCTTCCTTTGCAGGCCATTGGCCCAGCCGCAAGCCGTCGGCCCACTCCCTCCTGCGCTGCATCGCTCGGCCCAGCGAATCGCTGGCCTAGCTTGGACGCGCCCATGCCCGCGCGCGCCTTTCCCCGCCGCTGACCAGCCGGACCCACACTGGTCAGGCCCTTCTTCCTCTCGCCGTGGCCGGGTCGAACTCTCCCGTCCGCGTCGTCGTTGAGTCCGGCGCTGCCACGACCCGTGGTGCCGTGACGCCCAAGGGATTCTGGCCCCATAAATAGCGCCCCCACCCCTCCTCTATCTCCTATCCCATCTGGCGCCCGGTTTTTCGCTCAAGCAGCCGCAGCCGCGTCTCGCTCGAGCGCCGCCGCCGACCACCGCAATCCATCGAGCGCCAAGCCGCCTTCGCTGCCTTCGCCAGATCAGATCCAGGCCGTTCGGATCTAATCCAACGGCCCAAAACCGGAGATACCATTTCGCTGCCAATTTTGCAAATACGTGCTTATAATTACTTCGGTGTTAACCCGCGGTCCTTTGCGCGTTTCACAGTTTATGTTTCTTTCTTTCGAAAGCGTATTTTTGTTCGGTTGGACTGAAATACGTTTTCAATTATTTACAGTTTTGCCATTCAACTTGTTTTAGCCATACTTTCTTTGTTTTAACTCCGATTTGATCCGTTCAAGTTGCGTTAGGTTCATAAATAAGTGATCTACATGTTCATGCCACTGTAAAGAAGGTTTCCAACTTTTATAATTCGAGCTTAGATTTAATCTATTATTTGCCTATACGAAATCTTGTTTAATTCATGACTTCTCCGTTTTAGATCCGATTTTTGTGATCTTCGCGTCTGTGTGTTCATAACGAGACGTAGATTTGTTTTCCAAACTTTTCATCTTGATTCTTTGCTGTTGGTGTACTGTTCTAATCGATAGCCTTGTTTGCTTTGCATGATTGCTCCTGGATGCTTGTATGTTGCTGTGGTTATCGAGTATAGACGGTGAGCAGTTCGTGGGAGATCAAGGGTACGACTTTGACGAGCAGGACCAGCAGGAGTACTTTTCTCAAGGCAAGTATAGCATGGGATCATCCTTGCTTCCTATTCAACTTTAATTCATTATATTCATGTTGCATGTGTCATTTTGATAGGGATTTCCTAGAATTGAACTATTACCTTGTCACCTAAGGGTTATGCATTGGGTAGCTTTGCTAGTGCTCAATTAAACCATGATCTTGTAACTTGACTAATGGTATATGCAATAAACATTAAAACATGACTTTTTAGCAACATGGAAACAGGGGGCTGGAGTGTTTAGCTACTTTCTAAATGCTTCAGATTCCTCTCCCTAAGGACTTATCTGTAAGTGATCATCCGGGACTTACAGTACAGCTGTGAGGGCTACATGGCTCTGGCTTTAGCTCAGTATGAGGACCTTTTCTAGCTTGTTAGTGGTTACCTTCATTGGCGTAAGAATGGCTTGCCGAATCGGGTATAGAGCGGCCTCTAGCCTCATGTGTATAGGCTGCGTGTCGATGCGCCATCGGGAAAGGGGGGGCTCTACATCTGTTTGCCGAGTGAATCTAATGGTCCTAACTTGTTAGACGAACCTTTGAAAGGCTTCATAGTGACCCCTGCCTGCTCACCTTAGAAGTGTTTTGGGAGTTATAAACCCGGGCATATGGGTATCACGACTCACTGTGAAAGTGTACAACCTCTGCAGAGTGTAAAACTGGTATATCAGCCGTGCTCACGGTCACGAGCGGCCTTGGAACATTTACGGAATAGAGGAACACTAAGTAATATTGTTTTTGCTATTCATTATTCATGTTTACATTTGATCATGTGTTTTGCATTGGGAATTGGAAACAACTTGTTGCTACTCATAAGCTAAAAGTGTGAAAACTAAAAGATGAACGTTGTTAAACCTGTGTCAAGCATTTTGAGCCTCATGAACCCCATGTTACACTTGTTGAGTACAACATGTACTTACGCTTGTTTATTTTCTTTATTTGGATAAAAATCCTAGATGGGTAATAGATGACTTTGGGTATGATGATTTTCCTGAGGACTACTAGACTTGTGGTCAACCAGTCGACGTCCCTATGAAATGGAGCTTCCGTGAGAGATCTTTTTATTATTTCCGCTATACTTATGTAATAACTCTATCTTATTCGTGATGTAATAATACATTGGTGATGATACTTTTCATAATTTATCGGCTTATGTGTGTGACTGATATCTGGGCGCACATAAGGTTTTGCACCCCATTTTATCCTTAAAATTGGGTGTGACACAATGCGAGTGTTTGGCATTCTCGTTTGTGTCATGTTAACTTTGGTTTGATGTTATGATTGTCCATCATGAGTTTAATTCTAGATTTCACTATTGTCAAAGGTTCTAAGTGCCATAGTTGGGTGCAATCAAAGCAACCTGGAAAGCCTCACCAGGTAGAGGTGAGAGAAATTTGGCACCTCTAGAGCTAATACATTTTGATATATGCGAGGTGAATAGGGAAAAAGGTGGAAAGAGATATTTCATGACTTCAATTGATGATACAACTAGATTTGCAATGTTTACTTGGTCAAATCTAAGGATGAAACACTATACTACTATAAATTCTCTATGTCTAAAGTTGAGACTAACTAGAGTGGAAGATTAAGCGTCTAAAGATGGATCATGGTGGTGAGTATTTTCCCAGATTGTTTGATGGATTCTAAGGAACACGACATTATTCATGAAAGGAAGCCTCCCTATTCGTCTGAATCAAACAGGATTGCCTAGAGGAAAAGTCGCATGCTTAATGACTTGGTGAACGCCATATTAGACACTGCTAGTTTCTAAGGCATGGTGGGGGAGGCTTTATTGACTACGAGCCATGTCCTGAATAGAATTCCAAATAGAAATAAAGAGACAACCCCATATGAGGATTGGGTTGGAAGGAAACCGTCACTTTCATACTTGCATACATGGGGATGTTTGGCGAAAGTCAACGTACCAATTTCTAAGAAGCGCAAGCTTGGACCCAAGGTTGTGGATGGCCTTTCTAGGATATGCTCAATAGAGCATTGCCTATAGGTTTTTAGTGGTAAAATCTAAAGTTCCTGATATGCATGTTGATACAATTATGGAATCTCATGATGTTATATTTTTAGAATATATTTCATACGAAAGACGATATGCATAGAAATTCTAGATTTTCTTCTAAGATAGCTTGACATTTTACTACACCTATCAAGTCTCCTGTTGAGTCATTTGAGCATCCACATGAGGAAGTCCTTGAGAAGAATGCCAATGGAGCTCATGTGAGGAGCAAGAGACAAGGATTACAAAGTCTTTTGGTGATGAATTCATTGTGTACCTTGTGGCCAATACTCCCTTGTCTATTTCAAAGGCATATGCATGATCCAAATGTTGATGATTGGAAAGAAGTTGTCCGTAATGAGATGGACTCGACCCTTTCTAATGTGACCTGGGAATTAACTGAGTTACCCTATTGTTGTAAACCTGTGGGCTGTAAGTGGGTGTTCAAAAGGAAGCTTAGGCCTAATGGTACTATTGACAAGTACAAGGCTCGGCTTATGGCTAAGAGTTATACCCAGAAGCAAGGCAACGATTTCTTTAATACTTATTCACATGTTGCTAGAATGACCACTATTCAAGTGCTACTTCCCTGGCTGCCTCATATGGTCTTCTCGTTCATCAAATGGATGTGAATACAACCTACCTGAGTTGGATGAGGAAATATATATGGATTAGCTTGATGGGCTTGTAGTACAAGAAGAAGAGCGCAAGGTGTGTAGGTTACTAAAATCTTTGTATGGCTTGATACAAGCAGCCAAGCAATGGCATAAGAAGTATGATAGAACTTTAACCTTTGCCGGCTTTACCATTAATAATGCTAATGAATGTGTATATTATCGCCATGGTGGAGGCATACTGTTACACTATGTTTGCATCTTGATGATATTCTGATTTTTGGCACAAACATTGATGCAATCAATAAGGTAAAGTCTTTTCTCTCAAAGAGTTTTGACCTAAAAGATCTAGGAGAACCTGATGTGATTCTAAACA